TTTGCTGCAGAAAGCAAAGGCTTATGTTTCTATAAAAGCAAAACTTTTTGGGAGGAATTTTGAATTCTAGCGGACTTTCAACATTGTTATTTAAGCTTCTAAACTATTAAAGAATCCTGAACATTACATAAAGACCTTAGCAGCTCTATTTAGATCTCTAATATTAAAAAAAGTAAACATTTCACACCTGAAAAGAAAATACCTATCTACCCATATTCTTTTTTACAAAACTGCATGTAGCCTTGTAAGAAATTATCGCAATTTCCGTCGTGCTCTTATGTGTAAATTATTAACACATCCAGCTAGCCAACAGGAAGATTCATGGTCCAAACCCGTGAGGGTACAGTTGACTTTTCAAATTTCCTGCTTTGATGTTCTCTACATTCTTCTTGATCTGGTAAAAAATTTGCTATTACTTTTTCTGTACTGAAACCAAGTATGTTCTTTTTTAAATACCTTCAGATAATTAGATAGATTAATAATAAGTTAAAAACTTTCTTTTTTTTTTTTTTTTTTTTTAAATTTTAATACTAAGATGCATTACTAATGGTCAAATAGCTTTCCGTATGATCAGAATAAACGGGCTGTCAACTCCGTGAAAATTTTATTTATATTTAAATGCAAGTTCAAAAAATTTGATTGCTTACAAATTCAATTAGCCCATTGGGAACAAAAAATTGTTAACTGATGTCCGAGGTTCGAATGAAGACAAAATATAAACACAATTAAATTTTTATGTTTCATGTTTTATTATTCACCATGCTTATTGAAAAAATATTCATAATGTAAACGCTTACGCTCTTTTTTTATTTTTGTGGAGATACTAATTAAGCGTTCTGGCCATTCAATTCAAGCTTTATATTTATATCAATAAAATTACATTCCAAATTTTTAAATACCTCAACACATACATCCTCTCTGCACCAAAGGATCCTCATTCATTTATTAAAGAACACACATGCCTGTGATCCAGTGAAAAAAATGGCCCGCGAGAGATGGGATAAAAAATTGCAAGCTTCTCATTTTATTAATATTTTGAGTACATAAATAGGAAAAAGTTTTAAGTTATATATGCCAGGATAAGGAATTTTTAAATTCATTTAAAAAGTACTCAAAATATCGATTAAACTCAGATTTTTTAATCTGTTTCGAATAAAGAACTTGTTTCAGCTGAAAGCAAATATTGTCTAACTGAATAAACTTAATCATCCAAAGAAACTCATCTTATAACAGAGTCATTGCCGGTAATTTGAAAGAGAAAGGGAGAGAATAAAAAAGCACATAGCATATATCTGTAATTGAAAACATTCAATAACTTAAAAATACTACTTCGTGGGACATTACATATGCTGTTCTAGACAGAACTCATTTTAAATTAAAAAACGAAAATATGTTGCTGAGTAATTGTTCACTGAGGGAATAATGGTTCATTACTGGTAATTACTTCATCTTAAAATTACATCAGATTTTTCAACCTACAATTTTAAATCCACAAATGTATGATGTTCGATATATAGTTTTGCCTCTAGAATTAGTAAAACCAATATTTCTCCCAATTCCCGTAATAATCCAGATTAAATATTTAGTTATCCAATTAAGAGCTGAAGGAGTATGTTAACTGAATGAGATACAAGAAGACAGCTAATGCAACATTTTTCCTAATCGATAAAAGTTAAAACTTTCATCCTAAAACAGTAATAGTATTAATAATATTAACGCTATTAATGGGGAATAAGTTACTTATAAAAAGAAAAAAAATCCTATTTATACTTAACAAGCATAAGAACGTTAAATTTAGGATGCAAAATGAAATTTATTATATTTCATCCCGATTCTCAAGTCACGTACTTTGCAATTCTTAAGATTTAAAAATCAATTTATGCTACTTGGATTTGTCCCTTGATTAAAATGAAAATTATATGAATTCATTATCACTGTATCAGAATTAACTGAGCAATCAAAATTGAAAATATACATTTAACTGACGTTTGGTAATGGGCTACAAACAATTATGCACTAATATAAAACTACTTCTTATGCTAAATTAATTTTATAAATAAAAATTATTCAGATTTTGAACACAGAGTTTTCCTATAAATATTGAAAAAATTCTTTCGCTTTTGCAATAGAATTTTTTTTTTAAGTTTATAATTTTCCTTAATTTCATTTTTTAAACAAATTAATTTTATTAATAGCTGCTAGTATTGACTTATCTTTTTGTTCACCATCATATGAAAGTACAATATGAACAAATGCAGAAGTCCTATGTACTGTACGCGTTATAAACAATGCTGAGCAAAGGTTTTAGAAAAAAAGAAATCAATTTTAATCCCTTTTTTTCATTTATTATTACTAATTGCACTGTAATTTAATTTCATTTCAATACCACATTTCCAGATTTAGATTCGAAAATGTATAAACATAAAGAAAAGTAAGTGTCCTCAATTACTTCTACCTATCTGTCTATCTATCTATCTATAATTTTTCTGTCAGCATGCTTCACTGCATAACCCTCCTTTTTTTTCGAAGATTATCAATCAATTATATAGAGGTACATTTTCTTCCTTTTTCAGACTTTAAATGTATGCAAGTTTATCATTTTTGGGGGATAAGAGAGGATTTTTTGTAAGTAAAATAATTTACACTTTTAAAATATTTTAACAGAATAACATTTAAGCAATTCCAAAGCCAAATTCATTAGAATTGTCTACTGAGCAGAGAATTTTTTTTTTTTTTTTAAATTTTGAAAAGTGCTGGCTGAACAATGCGAAGGACGAAATGCAGCCGACATAAAATGCTCATCAAATGCTGCAAAATATAACCGTTAATGGATAGAAACTGGCGGTATTCAAAGAAGGAAAAAGGAAAGGATGAATAAGAAACCCACTTCTGACAAAATATTAGACGTCTTCGATTAACAACCTCAACAATAAGAAAAAAAAAGAAACCACGGAATTAATTGACAAGGTCAAGCGATTATTTCTAGAATAATCTGTAGATCTTCTCTTAGAAAGTTTAGTGAAAATTGTCATTTGGCAGAATTATTGCTAAGACTGAACCCAAACCAAAACTGAACTTAATAAAGGCTAACTAGACCACTCTATGAAAACTGAAGCAAAATTCTTGCTTGGAGATTATTCAGCTCTAGATAAGTAGGACACATACTAAAAAATTATGGAAAAATGGAGCAAGAAAATTATCATTAAATCCTTATCTATGATGATGTAACAAAGGGCCTTCATCTTTGATTGAAGATTTCATTATAAGCAAGATAATTACTTAAAGCATATCTCTAAGCTCTTCAAAAGCTATTTAACTAAAAGAGAAGCAGATGGGATATTTCAGATCGTGCACTATCTTGTCAGATTGTCACCACAAAATTTATGCCCCAATCACACTGAGCACCTGTGAGATTCTGCAGATTAAAGGCTTGAAAAAAAAAAATTCCGAAATGGATTCAAAATGTAGAGCGGGCAAATACAACTTTTCCAAAATTCTGGAGGCAAATACAACGAGTTTTAAAAATATTCAAAAAGAAACTTCAGTAAAATTAATCTCCAGAGTGCTAGAAAAAGTGAATTCTGCAATCAATGTGGAAAAGGATTTTACACATATTATGGATTTATCTACTATTCTGTGTGGATAGTTCGACATAAACAAGTCTATTATTGCTTATAAATGAATAAACATGTTATTTACAGTGACCTATGTTCCAAATTATTATTTATATAATCTCCAAAAAATGAAAAAAACTGACTTTACTCGGATATTTTTGCAGAATACTCTATATCGACAAACACATAAATATATTATGTTGTACTTTGTGTTCTGTATGCGCCTATTTGTAAGCACAGTTTCAAATCCTGTCGTTTCACTAAAATGAAATAATATTTTTAATAACGACGTAGATGCAGGACGATGAACGCCGATTCATAAAGAGTCGTAGCAGCTTGAAAATTTTTTATTCTCAGTGTTACCTATTTTTGGCAGATGTTATCCATTTTTGACATTCGATGTTGTATAATTTTTACAGAGACACAGTTTAACTGGGGTAAAAGGCGCGCCCGTCATTTGATGAATTTTTTTACTTTTGAAGTAAGCAAGAAAATCTAGCAAAGTGGTAAAACGAAGAGCGAATGCCACGTGTCTCTGATGAAAAACCCGGTTCAGGATGATTTAGTTTTGGTTTAGGTTTAGCCATATTAGTTGCTAACAGTTTTGGTGCTAAAATTCAAAAGTAATATTGACTTTAAGAGTTATGTAAGTATCTTTGTCATTAACATTAGAATCAATCATACGAGAAGAATTAGTTTTCGAATAAACATTTTAGAGCAATATATTATAAGCAGTTATTATTTTTAGGACAAAAAGAGGAAGTACCAAATTAAAAAGAAGAGTTAAGGGTCTATTGAAAATTAAAGCTAGTGCTTTATTATATTTGTTTTTTATCTTGCGCGCGTGCACATATATACACATATATACATATAAAGGGTCTGTATCTGCACAACATGAACATATATTTTGGCAAAAATAACCTGAAAAACTGCCAAAATATATAGACTCTAAAAGTGAAAATAAATTTATGCGTTTATTATTTTCTAATAGCCAATTACCAGATGTATCAAAACAGAGCATTAACTCCGTATAATTTTCATAAAGACTTCAATTATTTTTAGGACTGTTTTAGCGCACTTGATTTTTTTAAATCAAAATTGAAAACGAGTTTCATATCCTTTCTTTGCAATTTTATTTTATTTTCCCCTCTCCAATTAAAAGATTTTCGTATCCGCTTTCAGAATCAAAATCTGTTCAAATCTAAATTCTAAAGGAAGACTTATTTTTTATTCTGCGCAAGTCGTGCCATTTTAACACAGCAAGAAATAAAACATAACAGAAGCCGAAATTTCCGTTACAGTGTTGTTAACGCAATACAGAAAAAGAATATACTATTTTAAATGCACGATGCAAACTCAGAATGATGCAAAAGGGAAGAAGTTTACCTTGACAAATGAAAGTGTCGTAATAAGCCAGTAGATTAGCCCTCTGCAGGACTCGATACAGTTGTAGTTCCGACTCATTCGTCGGTTGCGACGTCATGGCGACTGAAAAACAAAATTCAGAATGTGAGTCATAACAAGAACAAGTACCACAAAACATGAATTCACAGTGGCTATAACACTGAAAAAGCATTTAAATACACAAATTCCTTTTGTTGTTAATTCATTCTTAAAATTCAAGAAATCAACGAATACATTTAAATGAGATATATTAATAATCATGCAAAACAGACAACTAATAATTACTAAGAATTTTTTTCGGTTTTATTAATTTTTATTATTCATAAATTGTTGTATTAAGTAATATTACAACAGCACTGCATCAAAAAGAAATGCTAAATATTTTGTTAACAGTGGAAGGGGGTGAAGTAAAGAGCCTTCTAATTCTTTGAATGTATAAGTTTTAAAAATTTAATGGTTAAGTTTTTTTATACTTCTTAAAAAATTCTTAAGAGTTCTTAATTCCCTTCAGAACTAAAAAAAACTATCATGCTTGAATTCGGAGGGTATTCTCTATTGTATTACTAATGAAAACAAAGTCCTCATTTACAAAATCATTAAAAATTTTGGAGGCCTTTTTTTTTTTTTTTTTTTTTTGAAAATAAAGTAATTATTTCATCTACTAAAAAACCATAAACGGCTGTAACTTTACCATAAAAATAAATTTCACAGCATAAATCATAAATAATTCGTGAAAATCAAATTGAAATTATAAATTCTTTAATCTTAAGAATATTTAGCAAATAAATCTGATGTCTTACTATCAGTACTTAAGTCTTAACAAAAACCATTCTAAAAACTGCTATGTATGAACATTGTTACTACATACCTTGGTAAAAATTATTTAGTATAGAAGTAACTATTTACAAAGCGCATTATTTTTTTGGTTAATATTTACATAGGAAATTTTAAAGTACACTTTCATCTCAGAAGTAAAAATGTGATAGCTAAAAAACATTACAGATTTTTCATATGACAACCTGTTACACAAAAATGTATTACAGCATTGGCAGTCCTCATACAAAATACAAATATTACACATTTCAGTATTCTAAGTCACTTCATTTCTTCCTTAAACTTGAATGCTTTGAAACTGTTCGCTCAAATATTGAATCTAAGTATTAAATTTATTACATTAATTGCTCTGACGCTTTTATTCTGGTAATTACATTGAATACTTATATTAATTAAGACACAATAACACGCTGAACAAATACTAATTCAGAAGTCAAACAACAAAAATCAGAGTTATATTTTCAAATTCAATCAGCGTTATTTGAAAATATAACGCTGATTTTTGTTGTTTGACTTCTGAATTAGTACTTATATTATTATATATTCTGAGAATGCCTTTTTCAATGTTTTCATATTCTTAGTATTATACGTAGTTAATATTATACGTATATAACTGTTAAAGTCTTCCTCTCTCCTCCCCTTCTTACGGAGAAAGCCCGATAACTAAATTCTCTATAGTTTACGTAGGTCTAAACTGTACAGATGCGATAATAATAATGTATCTAAGACTGAAAGATTTTGAATTTACCATCTAAAATACTGCGTGAACAGATACGTGAGGAGCTTCATCTATGCACGTTATTTTATTCAAAATTTTGGTGAATTTCGTAAGCATCTTCAAAAGTAGAGGAACTGGCCTCAGTTTTTATTGCTTCCCAGTCGCACTAGTTTATATCCACCCAACCAATCTATTTTTTTTGGCGGCCGGGGGGGGATTATATTGCGAAGGCAGCAGCTAAATGCTGAAACATTTAGCTTTCGTTATATGTTTACTACATTCTCATTTAAAATACTTAATTTTCAACACAAGCGTGCATTTGCATAACAACTTTCAAAATGTTATTGGCAGAAGTAATGCAAAGCGAGAGATATAATTAAACACAAGTTTTAGAAAAAAACGTTTTTTTAACATTTAAGAATTACTTGCTTCTTATAGTAAAAATATCAGAAGAAAATTTTGCGAACACGCTCTAAGGTTTAAGTCTTCCTTATAAGAATTCTTCATACAGTATCCACAAGCAAACGGAATCATTTAAGATCAAAGCCTTCGTAATCGTATGATGTGAAAACCAAATCACTACAATTAAAAAAATTTCGGGGAAGAATTTTTTTAATTCTTGAGAGGTTCATTGAAGCGAATAAAAAATAATGAAAGCAAATGAATAAACTTAGATATGAGAAAATTTTCAATGAATAAAGGAACATATTTTCTTTCAGAAAATAAAATTAGTTTAGTCCATTTAAGATTGTCAGAAACTATACCGAGACTGCCATTAAAATAAATTTGCAGGGAATAGATATTTTTAGTGTACTGAAAACAAAGGCAAAATTCATACGAAATGGATGGGAAGGACTTCCTCAGCACTGAAAACAATACAAGAAATTTATGTATTTTAATTGGGAAATCTAAACTTAAATATGACAAAACTGTGTTTTTTTTCGGAGGGAGGGGGTCGGTTGACGAAAGCGAAATTTTATAAATATTCACATTTCTTAAAAGCTAAGCCGTGATTTTATAATGAAGGGGGGGGAGGAAAGAGAAATTTATATAAACAAGCGATATTTTCTGAAATACTTTTCTGTGAAAACTAAAAGTAAAATAGCGATATTTTTCCTTTCCTTTTTTTAAAATTAAGCTTTACGATTTTTTACTTCAACCATATAGCCAAATAAACTTCATTTTAATTTGAGGACAAATTCCCCAAGGCATAATGGCAACATCGGTGGTGCAAAAATTTCCCGCAGAGACTAGCACTCGCGTTTAATAAAGCGTCGGAAATTCCAGGTGAAGAGGTCTAATTTGTGAATGGCGTGTAGAAGCAACTGGGGAACATTGCAACGCTTTTCTGAAAGATTCATTAAGTTTTCATTTTTCTTCCAACAAGAGCACCTTCTGACAACAACCATAATGTGACAACTCCTTCACGCCAACAAACAAGAACTACAATAGCAAAAGTAACTCGGATTTACTCAGAAGTCATGCATTTTTTTTCGCTTTTCTTCTCTCTCATATTTTTGCATGTGGGAATAAACTTGAAGCAAGACGTTTCGCCTTTCTGACACCATGCCATTCGAAATCATCAAAAGCTAAGAACTTTGCACAAAAATCACTCCTTCAAAAAAAAAATTAACAAACAACTTCAGCAGAAACATTATTTACTCTAACTTGCACTTATTAATTCAAAAATTCGTAATGTGTGTCACTTTAAAGATAGCAGAATAAAAATAAATTTTCTCAGGGATAGTTTAAACCTTAAAATGAGGTATCACTTACACTTTGAAGTTTGAACAGTTAAATAAACCTCATTTTTTACTTCATATTTAAAAAAAAAAAATTCATTTAAAAGTCCTTAAAGCATTTTAAACATAAATATCCATTATCTTAAAAAAAGTGAGAAAAATACTAAACTTTTTTATATTATTGCGACGCATTCCTGAAACAGCAAGCATGCATTCGCTCTAAGTTTATAAGAGAATAACCACAATCTGACCGAAAAAAAAGCATTTTCGATGTCATCAATTTCTATATTTAGTGGCTAATTATAAGGCGGAAAATATAGAGGATTTTTCAAAACAACATTTTTTAATCTTTCTTACAATGTATATATTTTTTGCATGTAAATTTGAAGAACTATTTATCTTATTAAAACCACAGAATTTTATATTCACAAATTTATACATACAGTTACAATGAAATGCTGGAACAAGCAAGACCAAGACAAGAAACTGACTGGTTTACGCTACCGTTATAGGCGATGTAACAGTAAAAAATAGTCAAAAATAGATCCTATGCAAAGAACCTCCTAGTTTTGCGCAAAATATGAGATATATCACATATATATTTAACTTTTCCAACTTATGGATTGGCCCTATATATAAATTTCTGAAATTATAGCTGCAAGCGGTAGAAAGTAGGTAGCAGCGGAGCGAAAGAGAAAATGCCGGTCGTATTCAGGATGAAAGCAGAATGATTTAATTTCAGTTCAGATTTTTCTCCCATAGGCTAATTTTAAGTTTTGGTTCTCAAATTTGAAATAATTATTGGCTGAAATCTCATATAAGTGCCTGCATTAGTGTTATACAAAAATCACATGGCATGGATTAATTTTGAATGACGCAATTCAGAGTGATTTATTCTAAGCAGTTTTTAAGAGACAGAAAGGGGAAATACACAAATTAAAGTATAGAGTTGTAAATTAAAGTTAGTAATTTGATTTACCTATTTTTTATCTTAAATACATACACATATATACATATTATATATATATAGTATCACAATTTTTTTTATTTAAAAACATAATTATTCAAAGTATTTTCGCGCAATATGCTGCTGAAATTGATCAATATAGAAAAAAGTAAGATATGTAGAACCTATTTTACACAGTTCAGTGAAATGCAATACTAATAAATTTTTCAAAATATCCTATAAATATACAAAATAAGACACTTCATTTGAAACTGAATTTACCTTGCGTCGAGGAGGACTTCAGAATTTGTGGATGAGTTATTAATTAAAAAACTTTAGACTTGTTCATCAACTGATTTTGAATACAGAAAAGCAAGGGTTTTCAGTGGAATGGGTATTGTAATTGAATATGATGTATCCTCCTCTTGATCACGTTACATCAGATTTAATTGAATTCCTCTTCTGTATATATTTTTAGGTTTTATAATTTTTAGGTTTTAATTTCACATTTCTTTAATTCTTATTTTGTATATTTATATGATATTTTGAAATTTATTAGTACTGAATTTAACTTTTTGGGGTTTTTGTGTAAAATAGATTTTAAATTTCCTACTTTTTGTATATGGGTATAATTTGTGGCGTTTAATTTTTCGCTTTTTGTCAGTTTATGATTTACACTTAATGGCTCAGATCTAGACTTAGTTAGATTGGTAGTTGTCTGTTAGTCAAAATAGTCTTCGAAACTATATCCTCCAAACAGTACGCTAACGTTACTTATTACGGCGATATCGATTTTTATTAACTCATGATAAAGTAATTAGAATCATTGACTCAGCTCTGTTCA